GCCTCAATGCAATTTCAGAGACCAACGAGTGGGATCACAAGACAAGAACCCGATCATGCGGACACGGCCCCCTCGGACGCATTTTAGGATTGGCCCCATGATTGGTAGATCCTGAACGCGCGCACGATGGTTCTAGTATATATGCCCGTCGGTCGTTGGCAGTACGTATTTCCCAACCGTAGGTCATCATGATCGTCATCATCTTGATCATCATCGTCATCGCCACCCATGTTGGCCTCCCTGCTCTTTCGGCACACCTCTCAGACTTCTCGTGGCCCCATAGGGAGCTCCACCGAAGGTCCCAGTGGGACCGCCCGCGTGCGCCCACCACACCCAATGCAGCGCTTCGTGGCCCCATAGGGAGAACCACCGAAGGTCCCAGCGGGACAGCTCGCATGCGCCCGACATACCCAGTACAGAATTTCGTGGTCCCATAGGGACCGCCCGCATGCGTCCACCACACCAAGTGCAGCGCTCCGTGGCCCCATAAGGAGCTCTGCCGAAGGTCCCAGTGGGATCGCCCACATGCGCCAACCACACCCAGTGCAGCGCTTCGTGGCCCCATAGGGAGCTCCAGCGAAGGTCCCAATGGGACCTCCCGCATGCGCCCGCCACATCCAGTACAGCGCTTCGTGGCCCCATAGGGGGCTCCACCGAAGGTCCCAGTGGGACAGCCCGCATGCGTCCGCCACACCCAGTCCGCCCACATGCGTCCCCCCGCACGCAGTACAGCGTCTCGCGGCCCCATAAGGAGCTCCACCGAATGTGCCAGAGGGACCGCCCGCATGGGTCCCACCCCCCACCCAGTACAGCGCTTCGTGGCCCCATGGGGAGCTCCAGCGAAGGCCCCAGTGGCACCGCCCGCATGCGTCTCCACCACCACCCAGTGCAGCGCTTCGTAGCCCCAAAGAGACCTCCACCGAAGGTCCCAGTTGGACCGCCCGCATGTGTTCTTTCCACCCATTACAGCCTTTCGTGGCCCCGTAAGGAGCTTCAGCGAAGGCCCCAGTGGCACCTCCGGCATGCGTCTCCACCACCCACTACAGCGCTGCATGGCCCACCCCACCGAAGGCCCCAGTGGGACCGCCCGCATGCGTCCTTCCACCCTTTACGGCACGCCCCATCACGCGTTGCGTGGCCCACCGACAGCGACACCCACAACGCGTAAATCACAATTGCATATGGTTGGGTCCTTCGCCAGGATAAGTTCGGATGCCAAAGTCCCAGTCTATAGAGGTGCCTTCCTACTTCAAGAGTGGAGTGGTCTTCGTTCTTCCCTCGTCCTCAAGGGGGCGGGCGTAAACCAAGTCTACTTTCAACGCCTTCCCATTTCATGCTCCTACCCACTTCCTCCGACCAACCTGTATGGACGTGTGTTATGTTAGTATGAATGGATGGATGGACAGCCGGTCCTCTCCCTCTATGTATTTAATTACCTATACTTATACGTATGTACACATACATACACACATACATACATATACACATACCTATTTACATACATGCATGCATACAGACAGGCAGGCATGCAGACATACACACATACATACATACTTGCATGTGTGTGTGCGTGTGTGCATGTGTGCACGTGCGTGTGTTCTTGTGCGTGTGGGTGCGTGCGTGCGTGCGTGCGTGTGTGCGTGGGTGCGTGCGTGCGTGCGTGCGTGCGTGTGTGTGTGTGTGCTTGTGCGTGTGTCGGTGTGTGTGTGTTTGTGCGTGTGTCGGTGTGTGTGTGTGTGGGTGGGGGGGGGACGTGTGTGTGTGTGCGTGTGTTTGTGCGTGTGTGCGTGTGCGCGTGTTCGCGCGCGTGGGTGTGTGTGTGTGTGCGTGTGCGTGTGCGTGTGCGTGTGCGTGTGCGTGTGCGTGTGCGCGTGTGTGTGTGTGTGTGTGTGCGTGTATGTGTGTGTGTGTGTGTGCGTGTCTGTGTGTGTCTGTGTGTGTTTGTGTGCGTGTGTGTGCGGTTGTGTGTCTGTGTCCGGTCTTTTGCAGCGTTTTGGAGGGCAGGGAACGGGAACGCCGGCGGGCAAGTTCCAATCTTCTGTGCCGGGCCCCTGAGACTTGGACGTCGCCATTTCCCTCTTTGAGCGTTTCCGCCCACTTCAGGGCAACGTTCGACTCGAGAACGCCGGAACTCGGGTTTTTTGTTCACACGGGTTTGCTCACACGTTTTGACGACCACGTCCTGGATTTTGACGGTCTAGTGTCCGTGGGGTGTTTGCGCGCGTCGAATTCAGATTGGGCCTCGTCATTTTCATGATGGCCTTGTCAGGCCAGCACGAGTCCCCCGAACCCGAGTCTTGCGTCTCCCCGACCGTTGTCGGGCCCCAAGACACTCAGGGTTCCATCCTTCGGACACAAGATGTGTTCGAAGGTCTGGGTCGTGCTTTTGCGCAGTGCTGTTTTTTGTTCGCGACGTTGGATCTCAAGGAGGCCCTTCGACATGAAAGAAGAGGGTCTTGAGGGAAATGGGCTAGTCCTAGACCCTGGGGGCGCTCCCCAGGACAAGTATGTCATGCCGTGTCGCTGTCTGTCGGTCCCAGGGCCTGGGGAGGGCTTTGCGGGACCCGAAGTGTCACCTGTTTGACATATAATTTTATCATTATGTTTGGCATCACCTTCCCTCGATGCCGACCTTGCGGATCCCCTCACTTTCCGGGGGCACATCCTTAAGATTGCCATCGCTTTGGGCCTGCTCGTCTTGGGGACAGGGACGAGTTCGAGTCCGGCTACAGTGAGCGAACCGCCTCCAGGACCGTGCTCGTGCTCGCGCAGCCCTCGGCCCGCGCGCCCCCTCCCCCCCCCCCCGCCGCCCTCCTCGCCTGCAGCGCCGCCCCCCTTTTGCCTCCCGCGGCCCCTCCGCCCCGGGCGCGCGTGGCCCGGACGCGCGGCGCCTCGGCGCTGCGGCAGCCCCCCCCCCCCCCCGGGCGGCGCGTCGGAGGGGAGAGCGGCTCCCCCCGGAGGCCTCCGAGCGGGGGCGGGTCGGGAGCCTCGAGACGGGGGTCCATGCAAACGGGGGGCAGCCATAGCGCCGGGTCTTGCAGGATCCTGCAGGGACAGGGTCGCATCGACCCGGGCTTGGGCGCAGGATCCTGCAGGATCTTGCAGGATCCTTCGCATTGACCCGGGTTTAGGTGCAGGATGTTGCAGGATTCTGCAAGGCCTGGCTGACCCGGGTCTGGATTGACCCGGGTCAGAAAGTCTTGTGTCGTCTCGGGTTTCCTGTCCAATCTTCCCCCCCCCAGGGTCATCAAGCGGCCTTCATGAGACGCTCTTGGGCTGCTCGAGGGCGTTCTTGGGGCCGTCTTGGGGGCCTCTTGGACCCCTCTTGGCCCCTCTGGGGACATCTTGAGGCCTCGACAGCGCATCGGAAGCGAAACGGCGAGAGGGCAACAACCATGGATTGTCTTCAGGTGTTTGAAGGAGGTTAACCTCGTGGGGGGTCCGGAAAGGGCTCCGAGAGCAATTGGAACCATCTCGTGGCCCTCGTCGGCCTTTTTGGATACATGTCAGAAGCTCTTTTGCACCATCGTCGGCTATCTTGAGCCAGTATTGGAGGCCATCTCGGAGAATCCGAGGCCCCTCGGAGCCCCTATTTGGCCATCCTGGGCGCCCCGGCACTCCGCGGCCCGGCCCCGAAGAGCCTCAGAGAAGGGGGGGGGGGTAGACCTACCAGGGAGGAAGAGGCCTGGGGAAGAGGAAAGAGAGAACTCGTGAGACCACCTTCGCCCACAACGGGCTGGTGGGATTTCCCGCTTCGCTCGAGCCAGTTCCCAAACATGGCACGCTCGCTAGAGAGGAATCTTTTGCCCACATTCAGTTCGGAGGGGCTCTGAACCAATACAGTCTTGGAATCGCCTTTGCAGAGCTTCAAAACTGCTCAAGAGCGCCACAGGAGGCGCCCAGACGGCCCAAGAACGTCCCAAGACGGTTCAAGATGGTGCCGCCATTACGGCCCAATAGACCCGTCACGTTTAGACAGTTCAAAAGGCTCCGACGTCCCCACGAGTCACCCCGAGCTGCTGGCAGGAAGCGCCCGAGGCTTCTCAGAGGCCCCGCAGAGGCTCGAAGACGGCCTCGGGCGCTCCTGGCGGTCCCCCTATCGCAGCCCCGACAAGTGCCAAGGGACCTCACTCCTTCCATATTCTTCTCCTCATGCTCCTCGTCCCTTTGCTCTTCGCCGTCCTCCTCCTTCTCGTCCTTCGTACTGTCCTCATCGTCGTCCACGCCGCTCTTCGTGCTGTTTTTTCTCCCAGTTACCCCCGTTGTTATTATCCTCTCCCGCCTTGTCCACCTCGTCCTCGTCTTCCTCCTCCTCCTCGACAGTTTCGTCCTCCTTCTCATCCTCTCCGCCCCCACCCCACTCCTCATTTGCGTTGTCGTCTTCGCGCTGCCGTCCTCATATCCCTCCTCGTCTATATTGTCGCCCTCCTCCAGCTCGTGCTCGTTCTACCCGTTATCACCCTCCTCGACATTGTGTTTGTTTTTTCTCGTGTTCTTCCTGGGCCTCCTCGCTTTCTCCTCGTCCTCCACGCTGTCCTCGTCGCCCGCCTCCTTGTCGTCCTCCCTTCTCCATCCTTTCTTCTTCGCCTTACAGTGGAGACCCATACCAAGAAACACCCTGCTTGCCTCCAGCATGCCCTGGGTGTCTTGGGTTTCGATGCTTTTGCTATTGAAAGCGTAACGTGCCCATACCGAAAAATAATGTATGTCATGGGGTCTCAGGGTTGGGTGTCGTGTGGAAGGTTTCTTTTGGACTGGCCTCCACTGTACGAGCTGAGTGGTCCAAAAGCGGCGTGTCCCATTCTTGTCGGGGCAGGCTCCCTTCAGAGAGGGCTCTCAGGCGCGTCTCTTGAATATGCTGCGAACGGTCTTACGAGCTGAGTCTGGTCGTGCCGTCTGCAATGAGACCCTTGGCCGATAGACACAGTAGCTGATAGCGCGGGTTGGACCACCGGCGGTCTGGGCCACGCGTGTCTTCCCCCGCCGCGTCGCTGAGCGGAATGGCGGCTGCTACGGGAGGCGTAGCGTGGCAGCAACGCGCTGCACGTGGGGCATCTCCATTCTTGCGGCCGAAATTGACGGGAGTGATGAGCGCGCTGCTACACTTGTTTGGAGCATTGTCTGAAGCCACACTGGACATCCAACCACCGATGAATCCGTTTCTGCCAATTCCATTACGGCAAGTTCTTTTTTGAGAGGCATTCATATGCTTGGTTTTGTCCAGTTGCTACTGCTGTGCGCTTAGAGAATAGCAGAGATCAAGAGCAGATGATTTCACCCGACGGGAAGCGCATGAGAAGGCCACTGTCTTGTTTCCTCGATTGCCATACTGGAGGATGCCCAAGGCGGGAATTCAGGTGGCCAGAGATGAGGAGCGGATTGCAGGTCTTGGGTCCGATCGAATAAAGTTGGACCACCATGCGGGGCACGGTCTGCAAATGGAAATTTAATGTTGGGAAAACTACGTTCGAGCTGAACGTGTGGTTGTTCATGGTAAGTAGTATGCGCGGGAGAGGAGGATGAGGACGAGGAGGAGGACGAGGACGAGGATTTGGACGAGGAAGAGGAGGAGAAGGAGGAGCGGTAGCGGCTGGAGAAGCAGGAGATGGGAAGGGGGAGGAAGAGGATGGGGAGGAAGGAGAGGGGGAGGAGCTGCCAGCGCACGCGCGCGCGGCAGACAACACGACACATGATCCGTGAGGTTCAGCTGTTTGTAGCTAGGGTTAATTACGACTTGCTGTGTCCGCACGGTGCTCCGTGAGTTCGTGGGTGGTGAAGAGGACTCGGGGGCCTTCTGGGCTCTTTTTTGGGGACTCCTGGAGGCCTGCTGGCTGCCGCGTTGTTCGATGCTCGTTTTGGGGACCTTCCTGGAGCCCACCTAACGGATCTGTTCGACCCCAGTTCGACTCAAGTTCGACTCAAGTTCGACTCAAGTTCGACTCAGGTTCGACTCAGGTTCGACTCAGGGTCGACCCAAATCGACTGACGTTCGACGCAGCTTCGACGCACGAGTGGAGCGAGTGGCTCCAGGAAGGTCCCCAGAACGAGCATCCAAATCTTGGAATGGAGAGCTCTGGAGTGAAATTCGAGCTGCTCCTCTTGGGCCCCTCTTGGGGAGGTCTCTTGGGAGCGTCCTCGGCCCCTCCAAGGTCAACGCTGCTGACGAGGTCAGTGCGGTGCTCGTGTGCGTTCTGGGGCGACAGCGCGGGCTCGGCTGGAAGAGTTGGCCGGACGGCGCCCGGCGTCGGGGCTTGGATGCAAGTCTTGAAAGGACCTGGGCTGGAGGGGATTTTCGTTGTTTGGGGGTGCGGGATCGGGATATACCCCCCCCAGTTCGAACCTGGGGAGGGTAAAATTCCTCCCCACCCCCTCCGAACACTTCGCTCTCTGAAGTGTGTTGGTTGTAAAGTGACCCGTCCGAAGCGAGAAAATATGAAATGGCGGATTGTGAATGGCATCCAGCAAGAATCCGCAAGAATCCTATTGGAATCCTAGTGGCACCCTTCCCACTGGGATCCTGTTGGCACCAGATGAATCCCATTGGTATCCAACGATATTCCTCGATATGGGGCTTGCGGGTGCCCTATTGGAATCCGATTGGGTTTTTTTTCCTATTGAAACCCGTTGGGACCCTTCCCTATGGAAAACGATTGGAAACTTCACGGGGTTACAATCGAGGAATCTTCCTATTGGAATGTTGCGGAAACGCACTGGGAGTACTATATGGAAACCCGGTGGGCATTCTTGTGGGATCCAAAAGGTGCGTTCGGAACCCAATTGAGATCCAATAGAGATCATCCCGCTACAGGCTGGTGACAGGCTTGGGCGGTTTAAGATTGTTTGACATCCATGCCCTAAATCTACATCATTTTCTGGAGCCTCATAACCTCTGTCCGAAAATCCGGGTTCTGGAAATAGAGGACAGTAAGCGTTCACCGAAAAAGACGCAGAGGAACAAGCGCGCTCCCAGGAGAGCGGACATGTGACCAAGAAGTCGTTGGTATAATTCTAGCCAACGCATGCGGATCATATGTGTTTCCATCATGGACTTGTTTTGCCTTCGCGCCTCATCCATCGTCTGGCGACGACGCAACCTTATGCTTTCGCATGTGAGGAAGCATGCGCGCCCAGGAAAGTGGAAATGTGGCCAAGAAGTCATTGGTTAACTTCTAGCCGGTACATGCGGATTTCAAATGTTTTTTTTCGCATGAGAAACCATGTTTGCCATCGTGTCTCACCGTCTGGCTATAGCAAAAACAATGTTACGTGTTCCAAAGTGCGGAAGCATGCGTACCCAGGAGGGCAGAAATGTGGCCAAGACATGATTGGTAAACTAGCTGAAGCATGTGGGATTCAATGTGTGTTTGGCCGCACAGACAACCTTCGTTTTGGCGCCTCATCGTTTGGGAATAGCAAAACCATGATGTTTCGCATTCGTGGTCGCATGCAGCCGCATGCATACCCAGGAGGACGGACATGTGGAAACGATATCAATGATAACACTCTTGCCAAAGCATGTGAATTTCCAATTGCGGGTTCTCGCGTCATAAGCCACGGTTGTCCTCGCGCCCCGTCGTCTGACAGTCACGAGAATCGCATGTTTTCGCAATTGCGGTAAGGCGTGCCTCGGAGGGCGGAAAGTTGGCCAAGAAATCGCTGGTAACATTCGAGCCACTGCGTGCGGATGCCAATGTGTTGTGTTGGTTAGCCTCACTGACAAATTTCGCCCTCGCGCTTAATCGTCTGGCGCGCCCAGGAGGGCAGAAGTATGGCCAAGGAGTAAAACACATGGAGCCAACGCATGTGGATGACACATTGCTGTTTTTGTTGCATCGTAGGCCATGGTTGTGCTCGCGCCCCATCGTCTGGCAATCGCAAACACGCATGTTTGCGCAATTGCGTAAGCACGCGTACCCAGGAGGGCAGAAAGAGCCCGAGAAATCGTTGGTTCAATTTTGGCCAGTGTATGCGGATTGCAATGTGTATATTGTTGCCGCGCAAGCACTTTGTGTACTCGCTTGGCAGAGGCTTGAGAGCGCTCAGGCGCTCGGAAGCCTTTTGCCGAGCGCTCAGGCGCTCAGACGCCTCTGCAAAACGCCCAGGCGTTCAGAAGCCTCTGCAGGGCGCTCAGGCGCTCAAGAACTTTTATCACAAAACGCTCAGGCTTTCAGAAGGCTCTGCAGAGCGCTCCGTCGCACAGAAGCCTCTGCAAAGCGCTCAGGCGCTCAGAAGCCTCTGCAAAGCGCTCAGGCGCTCAGATGCCCCTGCAGGGAGCTCAGGCGCTCAGATGCCTCTGCAAAGCGGGCGTTCAGGAGCCTCTGCAAAACGTTCAGGCGCCCAGATGCCTCTGCAGAGCGCTCAGAAGCTCCAGAAGCCCCTGCAGAGCACGCGCGCGCGTTTTTCTGAAGGCTGGTTGTAAAGTGGCCGTTCTGGTTGCAAAGAGCCCCGTCTGGGTTGTAAGATCGTCCGTTCTGGTTGAAAGGTGGACCGTTCTGGTTGTAATGTGGTCGTTCCCAAAGAAATGCAAGGGAATTCGATCCCTTGCTGGTGTAAAGCGACCTATCTCGGTTGTAAAGTGTCGTTCGGGTTGTAAAGGGACCGAATCTCCCTCCCCCCCCCGGTTGGGACCGGGGGGTGGGGCAGAAGGCCCAGGCCAGGGCCAGGGTGGGGGCCAAGGCCAGAGCCGGGGTCAGGGCTGGGACGGGGACCGTGGCCGGGCACAGGGCTCGGACCAGGACCGTGGGTTGCCTGCGATGGTGATGATGCTGTTGACGATGATGATGATGATGATGATGATGATGATGATGATGATGATGATGGTGATGGTGATGGTGATGATGATGATGATGATGATGGTGATGATGATGATGATGATGGTGATGATGGTGATGATGGTGAACATGATGATGGTGGCGATGCTGCTGGTGATGATGATGTTGATGATGATGAAGATGATGACGACGATGACGATGATGAAGATGATGATCATGTTGGTGAAAATGGTGATGATGATGGTGACGGTTATGATGGTGATGGTGATGGTGATGGTGATGATGGTGGTGGTGGTGATGGTGTTGGTGGTGATGATGTTGTTGCTGTTGCTGACGATGATGATGATGGCGACGACGACGACGTTTATGCTGCTGATGGTGGTGGTGATGCTGATGCGGATGCTGATGGTGATGATGTTGATGTTGATCATGATTCTGGCGATGGTGATGGTTATCGTGATGATGTTGATGATGATGATGATGCTGGTGATTGTGGTGGTCATGGTTACGATGCTGATTATAATGTTGAGGCTGATGCTGATGGTGGCGATGGTGATGATAATGATGATGATGAGGATGCTTATTGTGATGATGATGATGATGATGATGATGATGATGACGACCATCATGATCGTGATGATGCTGACGACGACGATAGTTGTGGTGATGAGGTTGATGATGATGATGGGGGTGATGACGATGATGACGCCCCATCACCGAGTGAAGGTTGCATTTAAGTAATGTTTTGCCCGCCCGCCCGACTGAACGCCCTATTACTGAGCGAATAGTATATTCAATGTCCCGCCTCACGAACGGCGTCTCCGGCGGTTGTGATAGATGTTCCCCCAATCAAGTCTCATCACAGAGTGAAGGTTGCATTGAATGCTCCGCCCGCCTGCCCGAGTGAACGCTCCATCACTAAGTGATTAGTATATAGTGTCCCGCCTCCCGGGTTCACACAAAGTTCAAGCAAAGTTCCAGCAGAGCTCAACCAAATTTTACACTTGGTTCAAGCATTGCTCACACAAGACTCGAACACAGCTCAAGTAACACTCAACAACGGTCAAAAAGGTCATTCAAAGCTCAAAGCTCAAGCACAGCTCAACCGAAGCTCAAGCAAAATGCAAACGAAGTTTACACAACGCTTAGACAAAGCCCCAACAAATTTCAAACCACACTCACACACAGCTCAGACGCACCACACACAAAGCTCAAGCAAGCCACACCAAAGCTCAACAAAAGGTCACGCATAGCTCAAGCACACCTCAAACATGGTCAAACAAGCTCACACAAAGCTCAAACGAAGCTTCAACAAAGCTCAACCAAAGTTCAAACATGACTCAATGAATGCGCAAACACATCACGAACAAAGCTCGAACAAAGCTCAAACAAAGCCCAAACAAAGCTCAGCAAGGACTCAACCAAAGCCCAAACAAAGCTCAAACAAAGATCAACCAACGCTGACACAGTTCCAACAAACTCCAGCAACGCTCAAGCAATGCTCACACAAAGCCTACACACAGCTCAAACGAAGTTCAAACAAAGCGCCGACAAAGGTCAAACAAATCTCAAAAAGAGGCTCGAACATAGTTCAGACACAGTTTACCCAGCGCCGAACGAGAGTTCGCACAGCGCTCGGACAGAGCTCAAGACCAGCTCACACACAGCTCAGACAGAGCTCAGGCAAAGCTCGCACAGTGCTCGAACAAACTTCCAACCGAACTTGCACAAAACTCCAGGGCCGCTGGACCTGGGGTTCTGTCGAGCGTGTCCCTCTACAGGGGGGTTCTCGACGAAAAATTGAAACAAATACCTCACAAATACCCCAAAGAGGTCAAGAAATAGTCAAGAAATACTCCCCAGACTATTTTTGCAATATTTGTGGATTATTGTTGGGGCATGTTTCATTTTTCGTCGAAGATCCCCCTGTAGGGGGACAGGCCCGACTCAGACTCGGGAGGAGCAGCCCCCGGCCCCGGGGGGGCCCCGGCCCTGGCTCCCGCGGGCCCCCCGGCGCTCGGCCCCCCCTCCGCCCGCCCGCTTCGCAGGGGGCGGGGGGGGGGTTACGCCCCCCCCCCCCCCCGCGCGGTTCCAGAGCAGGGGAGGTTCGCCGTTCTCTATAGGGGCCACAGGCGAACCCCATCCCTCTCCCTCAGAAATCGTGGGGGGCAGGGGTAGGGTCCGCATGTGAGGGGGAGGGAGGGGGGGGGGGGTGTTATCCCCACCCGGTCTCCATGGAGGGGGGCGGGGGGGGGCTACGCCCCCCCCCCCCCGCGCGGTTCCTCTGCACGAACGAATTGGGCACGGAAAGAATGGGTACAATGCCCAACAGCGGACCTTGTTCATTTTGAACAGGACTCGCTGTCCACGCCGCCGCGGCCTGTGTCCATTCGAGACAGAAGGCTGCCTGCCCAACAGCGGCCGCTGTTGGTTTGAGACAACATTTGTTGTTGGGCATTGTACCCATTCTTTCCGTGCCCATCTCGGACGTCCAAAGTTCCAGAGCAGGGGAGGTTCGCCCTTCTCCCCACCCCCTCCGGTTCCCAGGGAGGGAGGGGGGGGGGAAATGTTATCCCCCACCCGGTCTCCCTGGAGGGGGGAAGGAGCGACGGCAGATGGGGCTCCCTCAGATGTTTTGGAGGTCCGCGTGTGGTTCCTTAGGCAAGGCAATGTTCTTCTCCAAGTGGTCTTCGCACCCACCCTTTGCTCCATAGGCCGTGGATGCTGGTCTGCACGACTAGGCCCTCAGGCCCTGTCCTGGTGCCGCGGCTTCTTCGCGTGCTCCTTCTCGACAGTGCAATTTCGCTTTGGCAGGTGGCCAGCGACTTCGGGACTGGGAAAAGCGCATGTCTTGAGGTTTCGTCGGGGGATCCCAGTGTCCCATTGACCAGGTTTGCCACCTGACACGTAATATGTATATAGATGCATCTATATACACGCATAGATATAGACACATGTAGGTATGCATATCATTTGCATGTGTTTGTATATATATATATATATGCTCAGCTCTTTATGATATGTGTGCATGTCTGTGCGTGTTTGTCTTACGTTGTCAACGTGTGTTGCATGCTATGCACGCGTGCATGCACGCATGCGTAAAGCTACACGCACATATTCATACATACGTGTGTATATATGTGTATATACACAAATATGTATATGCAGCCGTCCTCCCCAGTGTCGCTCCACTCTTCCCTCCCATTTGAACTCCCGTTCCCCCACTCGCTCCCATCCCTACTCTCACCTCTGTTCCTCGTGACTCCGTACCCCTTCCCCACCCGGGTGGCTACCGACCGAGACAGCGCGGACACCTCCGACTGCCCTTTCTGCCACGCACCTCGCACCTGGTGCAGTTAATCGGGGGCCACATGTGAACCCTACCCCTACCCCCCACGATTCTGAACCCTACCCCTACCCCCCACGAACGAAGTGAACCCCACCCTCCCCCTCAGAAATCGTGGGGGGTGGGGGTAGGGTTCACATTTGGCCCCCTAGTTGACGCACCAGTCTCGCAGGGCGCGCCTGGCGCACGCGGCGCACATGGCGTACGCAGTGCACCTGGTGCAGCAGGCGCTCCTGGCGCACCTGCTGGTCTTCGTGGTGCATCTTCGAGTGTCGGCGAGGTGGCCGCCGTTGTCCGTGCTGATCCACGGGCGCCATTCAATCGTGTGTTGGCAGGGGTGTTCGCGGTCCCGTCGATTCGACGGCGTCGCAGTCGGTTACATTCGGTCGATTCGGTTGGGTCGGATGTTGCGTCGCTGCCACGTCGTTGTTTCCTTTTAGATTGATTATGCTAGATTCGGTTTGGATCGGTTTCGCGTTCCGCTGTCGGTTTGGGCGGTTTTCGGTTGCGCCGTCGCCGTAGACGGGTGGGGTTGGGTGAGGCGGCCTGTGAATTGAGGTCCGAGCCCCCCCCCCCGCCCTCTCTTTTCCCCGCCCGCCCTTTTCCCTCGCCCAACCCCCCCCGTCCCCCGTGCCCATCCTCCCACTCCTCCCCCACCCCTCATCCCTCTCGTCCCCACCCCTTCCCAGGCAGGACCCTCCTGACCTGTCGCTTGCTGGCCTGAGTCTGGACCACGCGACGCGAGGGCGTCGGGATCTCGGGCCGAGCGCCGGGCCCTCTCGCAGTGGTCTTGCCCCCTCCTCCTCCTCCTCCTTCTCCTCCTCCTCCTCCTCCTCCCCCTCCTCCTCCTCCTCCTCCTCCTCCTCCTCCTCCTCCTCCTCCTCCTCCTCCTCCTCCTCCTCCTCCTCCTCCCTCCTCCTCCTGGCCGGCCACGCCCCGCCGCCGTGGCGGAGGAGTGCCCGGAGGGCCACGAGCTCCTGCCCTGGACCGCGAAGGAGGGCTCCTGCTGCGGGTGCGGGAAGCTCTTCCCGTCCGGCGAGCAGGTCGCGGGGCGGGCGAGGGGAGAATGGCCCCCTTCGAAGGGGGAGGATGAGGAGGTCGAGGAGGTCGAGGAGGAGGAGGAGGAGGAGGAGGACGAGAGTGACGAGGAGGAGGAGGAGGGAGTCAGGACGAGAGGGACGAGGAGGAGGAGGTCGAGGACGGGGCGGGCGAGTCGGGTGCGAAAAAGAGTGGGGTGATGACTGGGGGGGGGGGGGATTTCATGGCGCGGGCCATGATTTTTCCTTAGGTTTCATGGCGCCTCTTCTTAGTTCATTGCTTCCCAGGCCCCCCCTTTGGGCCGCACACGTGCCGCCGGTCATGATGTGCACCCCCCCTCTTGGACACCCCCCTCTTGGCCGCTCCCGAGCGAGGGGAGAATGGCCCCCCTTTCCGGAAGGGGGAGGCATAGTCAGGGCGCGAGGGGCGAGGAGGAGGAGGAGGTCGAGGACGAGAGGTCTAATCAGGACGAGAGGGTGAGGGGAATGGCCCCCTTTCCGCAGGAGGAGGCATAGTCAGGACGCGAGGGACGAGGAGGAGGAGGTCGAGGAGGATCCGCACGCTGGCGTTCGACTCTGCGAGCGTCCAGACGCTCAGCAGAGCGGGCCACGCAGGAGGCAGTGGCCGCCCGCGGTAGGGGGGGGGCCAGACGACCGCTGCCTCCGGAAGGGAGAGCATGGAAGAGACGGCTACAGCGCGTTCTGGCTCGTCTTCGAAGGCGGGGTTTTGGGCGCCGCGTAATGGGGGGGTCATAAATGGGGGGGTCGCGAGGGTGGTTCGAAAAGGTACCCAAACGGTACCTAAACGAGCCCCCTGGGGCTCTGGAGGGGCCCAAGAGGGGCACGAAAGAGGACTTTTTCTGACCCCCCCATCTATGACCCCCCCATTAAGCCACGCCCAAGGGTTGGGCCCCAGAGTCGGCACGTCCTCGAACGAGTTCTGCGTGCGTTTGCGTCGTCCCGGCAGGGCCTCCGCTTAGACTTGTGATGGTCCAACCTACTGTGTAGCCTTGAGCACCAGAAATGATTCCGAGCACCAGAAGAGTACCGCACCTCGAGGGTTTTCACCTGTCGGGCCCTGGGAGACACTCGCCCGACACTCTTTCGACGCTCTTTCGACACTCTTTCGACACCTACCTGGTGCTCGAACTTATTTTTGGGATGTGGCCCTTGAGTACGATGGGAAGAACATAAGCTTATACTTACTGCACTCACGCTGGCCGATCTGTCTGTCCCCTGCCCTCGTGCGAGGGGGGGAGGCGGCGTCGCCCTGGCGCTGCCGCTGGACGGGGCTCGAGAAAGTTGTTCGGAGAGCGTTTGGGAGGGGCTTGCAGGGAGATGCGGGGCTTGCGGATTGTTGGCCGTGGGGGAGGAACAATGGTTCTTGCCACAGTGCCGTTTTTACTACATGGTCCGCGTGCGGATCATGCCTTAAGCATGCAGGGGTTCAGCATTAAAAACAACGATGAGTTCGTGCCAAAAAATTGTTCATACACTTATACTGTATGAAACTCATATAATGTGTAACGAAAATCCTATGTAGTAAAAACTGCCCTGTACTTGGGTGCACGCGGCGCTTACCATAGCTCAGTGGGCCTGCGGGCCAGGAAATACAGCCTATGTCGCTCCATCTGATACGCCTCGAGAAAGGTGGGGCGGCACCTCCACGGGTGAACGAACGCGCAAATCCCATGAGGCTGGGCATGGGCCGCGGAGAATTCACGAAGGCCCATCCCCAACAGCAGCGCGCCACAGGAAACGTAGGAGGCAACCGTCTTCGCGTGAAACGTTCGCACGTGAAACGTGGCGCCGTCGGGGACCTGTCCGCGCGAGCGTCAGCGTCGCCGTCTGAGAAGACGTCTACAGGAGGATGCGATGGGGTGATTAGTCAGTACATTGCGCGGGGAGGTCTTTTCCATGATGATATCCCAAGCCCAAGCTTTAGCAGTACAGTCAAAAACTCAAGTAAGGACGCGCGACTTTGCTCAGGGTACCCTTGCGTCCTGGCTCTTCCTTGTTCTTGCGTCCTTGAGGTGTTCGTCGCCCGCCGCCCCAAAAATCCCAACTTCGGCTTCCAAGGGTCTTGCGTTCTTACCGCGCGTCCTGATTAGGGTTTTGGACTGTATGTAAGTGTCCTGGCCGCGGCAGGGCCCGCCCCCCCCCCCCAAGCGGCTGTCGCAACGTCTGGGCCTCGCACTCGGCCCAAGGTGACCTCGAGCCCGTCCTGCCAGGCAGCAGTCCCAGGCTCGGCGTTTACCGCCTTCTCTCGGAGACCTTGGCATCGCTCGGACGTGTGCATTTTTCCTTCGGCGAGGACCATCGCGGAGCATCCTTGATCATTTGGCGGAAAAGCCACGCACGACACCGAAAAAAACACAGGGAATGGACGTCCGAGCGGTGGCCAGTATTTGTTTTCGTCGGTGCTGCCCGCTTTCCCCTCCGTGGCGCCGCCTTTTGGCATACACTGAGTGGACGCAGCAACTGCAGGCGGACGCAACATTGTGAGTGGATCGCAGCATACCAGTGCAGCGCAGAGCGGAGCGGGGTGGCGTAGATGGAGTCAGATTGTGGCCGTGGGGGGCAAAGACAACATCGACGGATGGATTGACCTATGTATTGTTTTACGGATTGCATGACAGGAGCCGAGCGCACTTGAGTGGAATGGGTTTTGGTTCGTGTGTTTCAGGTCAGATTTGGGTTGAACCGGGTGGATGAGCCATTTCGGGCAACGGGAGTTCGATTATCGTCCTTCCACGTTTCTCATCTTCGTAGTTTCAATCGCGTCAGCTCGACACGACCAGGGCAACGCACTTTTTGGTACCAATGCCTTTCGAAGGGGATTGGGTGTTCGTGGGGAAATTGGTTGGGTGAAGTGGGCCATTCATGTGTCATACCGGCTTGATGTGTGTGTGTGTGTGTACGTGCCGAACGTTGATGAGAATGCAATATTTGGGGTATTGGCTGCACTTGCTCGTTCATCCCTGCTGAACGCTTCAGGTCATGGACTGCCGACGGTGTGACTGGTTCCTCTGTGCCATCGCCCGACTTTGGACCAAGTCAGTCTGCTGCTTTCTTGGACAGCTCTGACCTTCGCTGTGTTGTTCCATGTATGGCATTTTTGAATTGCTTCCACGATTACAGGATTACCCAGCTGGTTTCGCCCGAGTTCTAGTCGTTACCTTCGTTCCCTCCGCTTCTCTTTTGAGCTTCCATGTGCGTGCCTCCGCCCGCGCTGGGCTCAATACAATTGTGAGACTAGGATGCACTTGGCGTCTGATCGGAAGAAGGGTGCGTACACCTATTTGTCAGCGCGCGCGTCTCACTATCCATTCACACAGAACGGGACATTACAGCTATGGCGGACAGCATCGTTAAGGACCCATCAATCGACTATCCATACGAAGGGACCCCCAGGGCTGGGACCTATGCGCAAGGGGGACACTCATTCGTCATGGAATTCCGGTTATCAGACAAAGACCCGTTACCAACCTAAAGTATGATGGGTATGTAATGTTATGCATTGCGCCATGGTGGCCACCACACGAGCAGTAATTCGAATAGTCAGAGTACATGCTCGGAGAGCGCACAGTTTGACGAATCGCTCAGTGATCTGGTCGGAAAGACCCTAAGTCTAGACGCTTCGCGTAACCCACCAGCTACAGAGCGCCTGGCATGCGCGGAAGTGTACACAGGGTTATGGTGAGTCTTCCTCCTCCTTCTCGTGATGCTTCAGCGGTTAGCTGACTCTCCCTCTCCTGTTTCACTGGGGTCTTCCCTCGCGGATGTGGTTGCCGCCAGTACCGCTTCCGGGTGGTGCTCCGCCAGCTTGGATCTCACGCGAAGTTTCACATTGGGAGTGGGCGCCGAGGTGCCCACTGGCTACCTTCGGACGGCGCCCCCCCCTGCTGATGGCCGAAGGGGTTCAGTGGGGTTTCGATACACTGTTGTTTACGGTGCAAGGACTTCGAATTCGGCAGGTGTCGTTATGAGCGTTCCTTTTCCATGGGAGCTTATTTGGCACAGTCAGGGTTGGCATTGCCCTGCCTGGTACAGGCAGGTTTGGCATAATCAGCGCGGACAAAATAGCACAGCCACGACTGGCACAGTCAGCATCAACTGCTCGAGACCTGTTTCTCCCCCCCCTCTCTTACAGTGTGCCTGGCGTGCACTTCCTTCTCTCCCCTCCTGCATCCTAATGCTGCAGTGGACAGCTGCCACACCGGGGTGACTGCCGTGCTTGGCGTGCACTTCCCCTCCTCTTTTCCTGCTTCCTCATGCCGCCAGCGGCAGCTGTTGCACCGGGATGCTCTCCCTCCTGTTTCACAGGGTTCTTCCCTGGCGACTGGGGTTTGCTGCCAAATACTGCTTCCTGATGGCGATGAGGTGGTCTGGAATTCATGCAAGGATTCACGCAGGGAGTGCTGCGTCGCACTCGATGAGGTGAGGTTCCCCCTCGCCTGTTCCTGGCTGGTGTCGGCCCCTACTGATGACCGGAAGGTTCCAGTGGGTCTCTCGCTACATTGCCTACCTTACGGTACCTGGACTTCAGGTTCGGCAAGCGTGGCTCTGTACGCTCGTTGGCCGACGTTCTCCTGCATGGACTTCGCTTTTGATGTGTGCTACTGGTTTTTCTGCCGTTTGCAGCCTTTGTCGGTGATGAGGTTGCCCCTCTTCACTCTTGCGCCGACACGATTTGTGTCGCCTGCGGCACGGATGTCGTCCGGGTGTGTCCGTCGGACTAGTTTGACGGTGCTGTTTGCCTGACACACCGAGCGATCGACCTCTGCGTGTTCATGGTCGCGCCGCCGCGCCATTTTGGCTGCGTTTACTTGCTGGTCGCTAGCGGGACTTCCACGCCACAGGGTTTGGGAGTATCTGTTCTGGCTCTCCTTCTGAGTGGCTGCCCGCTCGCTCGCTTCGCTTGCCTTTTCTTGTCCTGCTGCTTAGTCGCGGCCCGACTAGTGTTCGCACGGCTTTCGACCCGCTTCGCGAAGTCTGTTGACCAAACATAACCCCACCAGCCCATCCATAAACAATGCCTGCGCGAGTTGCTTTGATCAGCAATGCGGAGGAGAACGCGGAAGAATAAAGGACCGGGTAAGACGTTGTACCCCCAAAAAAGGGGCGCTGGAGGAATAATCGGAGGAGGAGCACGAAAACGAAGAGGAGGAGGAGGAGGAAGAGGAGGGGGACGAGGAAGGAAATGAAAAGGACGAGGAGGGACGAAAAAGGAAGAGGACCAGGCGGATGAGGAAGAGGAACAGGATGAGCAGGAGGATGAGGGCGAGCAGAAAGGCCAAAGGCGTTCTGGATGCCTCCCGGGGTCTTTTCGCATTTCCTTCGAGGCCATGTTGGGGTCCTCTTGGAGCGTCTTGGGGCTCTACTGGCAGTCCCAGGGACCTCTTGGGGCCTCTTGGGTACCTCTGGGGGTGTTTGGGGGTTTCTTGGCTCTTGGGTGTCTCCTAGGAGCCTCTAGGGGGCATTTAAGGGAAGGGACATCGTGGAGGATTTTGGGGCATCCTGGGCACCTCTTGGGGCAGTCTTGGGGCAGCCTTGGGGGACTCGGTGGCCATTTTGGCACCATCTTGGGAAAGATCGATCAGAGGACAGGGGGCTCCGTACGTACGGTCGCCCACCCTTCCCAGGAGGCCAGAATGTGGCCAACACACTGGGGCTTTTGGGGGGCTCCTGGGAGGCATTCGGGGGCCTTTCAGGGGCCGCATCCTGGGCATTTGTTGGAGCCCTTTTGGGGCACCCTTGGGAGCCGCGGGGACCATATTGGGGTTATCTTGGAGGAAAGGGAGCAAAGGAAGGGGGTTCCTTAATCAGGGTCCGCCCCCTTGGAAGGCAAAAGTGTTGCCAACACCCTGATGAAATCAGTGACGTTGTCCTTCTGGCCGAGGCCTCTCGTGGTGTCTTTTGTGCCTCTGGGGTGCCTCGTGCGGCCTCTTTGGGTGTGTCTTGGGAGCCTGGGGCATCGTGGGGGCCTCTTGGGGCCTCGTGGGCGCCTCTTGGGGCAGCCTTGGGAGCCTCTTGGGGCCATCTTGGGGCCATCTCGGAGGAGATCGATCAAAGCAGGTCCAAGCACGGCCCTGGCGCGCCGGCGGCGCCCTTCGGGCCCCGTCTACTGAACATCGGGGCTGAGTTTGCCCTGGTGCCCGCCGCGGGGGGGGTCGTTGCATTCGCTCCCTCCACCTCCTCTCTGTGAGCTTCCACGCGCGTGCCGCCCTGCGCGCTGGGCCCCAGGCAGCCGTGAGGATCGGACGCAGCCGGCGTCCTGGCGGGGAAGTGTGCGCGTGCCTCTCTCTTGTCGCGCACGCATCACGGTCCATTTTCCCAATCATCCAACGGAACATTGCAGCCAGGCTGGGCGACATCGTGATGGTCTCATCCATACAGTTGCGAGACCCCTTACGAAGGCATCCCCAAAAAGCAAAAGGGCGCCGCCCATTTGTCAGGCAATACCGGCCGGTCATCTGAAGAAAGGTCGTTTTTCTGTGTTGAACGTCTCTGGCCGCTCCGGATAACTGTGTAGTTTGGGCGCCATGCCCCACGCCTGCCCATGTGCGATGGCTCGGTATGTCGACGTGCTGGCCTCCACCCCCTATTGATCACGATTGTGCTGATTCGATTCTCCACCCCCGCATGCGAGCTTCTGACGGTTCAGTATTCTGATTCAAGTTTATTCGTAAGTGGTCGATCGTATATATGTATTACAGGGTTCGGTTGAAAATATTAACCGTGTGTTGTTGACGCAGTGTTGTCTCCCGTTGCTGTTGGCTCGCGGTCACGTCGTTGCGTTCTGGGATTTTGTGAGCCAGTCCGCGAGGGGCTTTTCCGACAGCGCATGTCTTTTTGTTTTTGTGATAACCGCCCGGCGCTGATTGTCGTTCCGACAGTTTGTACATCGTGTTGTTTCTTGTTGCCGTTGTTTAGTGGTTGGTGTCTTGTGGGCGACATGTATGCCACGGTATGTCGTTATCGTGTTGTTCGCCTTGGTGTTTGGATTGGTCGTGGCGTGTGTTTGATCTCGGCACCTTCATTCTTGAACTGCCAATTCATCGCGGTTGCTAATGTTTCTCACTGTGCGGCTCCGATGTTTATTTTCGTTTATGCCCACTTTGGACCTCCAGCCAACCAGCGAAACAAGGTAAACCGATCAGGTGAATCTGGAAGGTCGGGGGCGCAGGGGGGGACTTGCAATTGGAGCGGGGATGATGGGCGGATTCGGAAAGACTCAACAAAGCGATCGATAGGGACCTACTCGGGAGGGAGAGCGCGAAAACGCGCGTGGAGGCGAAATGTGTTGTCCAAGATATGGGAGGACGCCTTCGTTATGGGGCCAGGCTCGAAGCACCCACCCTGCCACCTTGCATTGGGGAGAGAAGAGGAGGAGGCGGACAAACATGTTGAAAAGGACGTCGGTAACAGAGGAGGAGCCGCAGGAACCTCCTGTTGTTGATGATGGTGATGATGAGGATGAGGATGCTGATAGTGGCGGCGATGATTGCATGATGATGGTGGCGATGATGACGCTAGAGGAGGAGGCGGTATCTTCCGTGCGCCGCCTTTGCTTTGGTTGCCAGACATGGCAAATCTATTGATTCTGCGCTTGGGACGAGGGACGATACGAGCAGCAAGCGTGGCCGAGATGACATGGCCGCGATCTGGGCAGATCTGGACGAAGGGCGATGCTTCTTGCGGGACGCGCTGGCAAGTCAGCGATGGTGGGGCATTACGACAGGGATGAACAGAAGGGCTGGTGGGCCTGCACTATATTTGACTTCGAGTACACATTAAGACAGTTGTTTGATCGTTGGCAGTTTTGTGCTTGGGACCGTCAGGAAACGGTTGCGGATGAAAAGTTGATGGTTCGGGAAAGGGTCTGGATTTTGTGGAACCCCGTCTCGGCAGAAACGGTACATTCATCGGTTTTTTGGGATGATTCGAGGTACCAGTGCGGTTTGCGTCTGGTCGGATTTTGATGTCAGAATTGGCCAGCTAAAATTCTTGCTGTGCCGTTGACCAGCAGGCTTTAAAGGACCTACCTGTGCGAGGGCAGCTAGGTGGGGCGCTACGAGCTTCGATAAATTACCATCTCTCAGGTGCGATGTCAATTATCTGGCCCATCAGTCTTCGCAGCGGCAGTGAAGGTCTTAACATCGAAGGGAATCGGCACTGTTGTAAGCCAACATGTTGACAGCGATCCGTTTTAAATCTCGATGTGGCTTCTCCTACTAGCTCTAAGTGTTTTTGTTCTTGTCTCCTCTCCTTTCTCTTCGTTGCCCCTCACTCCCAGTCGCGGCAACCACTGAAGTCAACCCACGACGCAAGACTTCTCATCCAGCCTTCGCTATGACGCCCGCATAGAGGACGCCAGGTTTCTGTGGCTTGCGGGCCTCTTTGGGGCCTCCTGGGCTGCGACCTTGAAGGCCTTTGGGGCTGACTTGGAGGTCAGAAGCTTTAAAGGTGAGAATGCTAAGATAAGTGGAAACTGGAGGACAACACATGAGATTGAACTCTTGTAGGTGTAGGTCCTCTTGGAGCCCTTTTGATGCGTCTTGGGGGCATCTTGGGCCGGCTGGAGGACATCTTGGGCCGCCTTGGGGTCATTCTTGGCGGTCTTGAAGCCTTGCTTGGGAGGGGAGGCCAATGGATAGCACGTTTTCCGCGCAGCTGGCGGACTGGAAAAGTCTGGCACTGCGTGCAGCTTAGTGGCACGGGGCGGCGGATCTAGTGGCGTGCGGCCCATCCCGCTACCGTGCCTGGGTCGTGGGCCAGAGGCTTTTTGAATGCAAAGATAAAGAAACGTGGAGCGCCCTCGGAGGCCTCTTGGAGGGCTCGTGGAGGCCTCTTGAGGGCATCTTGGGGCCCTCTCGGGGCCTCTTCGAAGCCTCTTCGGAGCTTCTTCGGGGCCTCTGGGAGACTCTAGGAGGCCTCTTGCGGGCCTGCTGGCGGTCTTTGGGGTCATTTTGGGGCGGAGGGCTCGAAATGCCGGTTCGTCTTCCCCCTCTTGGGAGCCTCCTAGGTTGGGGCCTTCGTTGGCTTTCTCTGGGACGTGTTGGAGCGGTGTTTGGGGCCTCTTGGGCCGTCTTGAAGCGCTGGAAGACAAACAAGGCGAGATCGCAAGGAACTTGATGAACCGTAGGTGAATCATGATGTGTTGTACCACGTGTCCCTGGTGGGGATCCTTTTGGGGCCCTCTTGGGGGGAGGAGTGGGAAGGAAGGTCGGTGGGAAGAGGGCCGGTGACGGAGGCGATGTAGGAGGAGGATACGGATTGAGGAGAACGAGGTGGGGGAGGGAGGGGCCACCGTGTTACTCGGGAGGATGGGCGGGGATAGTTCAGACACAGTCTCCTGATTTCGAAGGTTGCTGTTATTCCGAGCGCAGTTTCTCACAAAACATGTCCAGCGCCGCTCCGTTTGGAGAGGCAGTTTCGGAAGATCGCGACGGCCTATCACTGTGGTGTTGCCTCGTCGTTGTGGTATCTGTCGGGCTGTCTTGGGGCTGCCTCGGGCCCCTTCGGGGTCCGTTTTCGGCGAGGTCTGCCCCGTTAGTTCGCTTCGGTCGCGTCAGCGCTAGCTGCCGCCAGCACGCGTATTCGTCCTTGCCAAGCCCCACCGAGCTTTGATTGCCAACAATTCTGAGTGATCCACAAGACACCGCTGGCCCTCTGCCCGGCCGCCCTTAGCCTTACGGGGCAGGCAGTCTTGGTTGTCCCCAGCGCTTGATCGTCGCCACCAGCCCCTACCTGGCTCCACTAACCCTGATAGCTTCTGCCTAGCGTCACTAGGCTAGACATGCTGCCACCACCCACCAGTTGAACCGCCGACGCAAACAAAAATAGGACCAGTAGTAACAGCAGAGCTGGAGCTGATGGGATTGGATTCCGGTAGTTGACAAGCCTGTGGAAAGGGGACCGTGGTTCTGGAGTTGGATTGGTGTCCACGTCACAGGAACGGGGCGTCGTGTCGGAATTCTGATCGTTGGGGAATCGCCAGCGTACCCCACCGCCGAGCTCACCCTGACGAGCGCCGATGTGAGCTGACGGCCCGGACGGTTGCCAGCAAGGCTCGCGCAAGCCTCGGCCTCGGTGCCTCGAACTGCTGGAACAAAAACACCTTTGCTGCCCTCCTTTCAAGTCCTGCCAGTCCCTCTACAGGAGGAATATTCAAAAATAGTCAAAGAATAGTCTGGGGACCAGTCTTTGAGCATTGTTTGAGTATTGTTCCCTGCCTAGGATCTGCCTAGAAGGGTTCTTACTCTGTGGGCTTACAGGGGCCGGGCAGTGCAAAGCGCCCCGGGCGGTTCCCCCAGGATCCGCCCCGCGGTTCCCCCAGTTGCGTCCCCTTAGCTTAGCGTTGCTTATCTCATCTTAGCTTAGCTTATTGCATCTTAGCTTAGCTTAACTTCATCTTAGCTCAGGTTTGTCTTAGCTTAGCTTACCTTCATATTAGCTTTGCTGAGCTTTAGCATAGCAGAGCACAGCATAGCATAGCATAGCATAGCGTAGCATAGCGTAGCATAGCGTAGCATAGCGTAGCATAGCGTAGCGTAGCATAGCGCTGCACAGCATATCATAGCATAGCCCAGCATAGCATGGCATAGCGCAGCATAGCATAGCGCAGCTTAGCATAGCATAGCAACTAATGCTGCTTTCCTAGGGGCTCCAACTTCTAGGTAGGGTCGCAATGAGGTAATTGGTTTTTTTGGTTTACAAGAAAAAGGTCGTCCAACAGGGGGAATTGCCCGACCTAACCCTCCCTCCCGCCTCGCAGGAAAACCCACCGCCGTTCTTCGCTTTGCCACCGGCCCCGCAGCTGTCGCAGCTGCCGTTCTATGCAGCCGAGCGGTTGTGCGAGACCTTCGACGCCACCGACGCGGCCCTCGACTCCATCGCGGATCTCCCCAGGGGGGGAGGGAAGAGAAGCCTCGTGCACGCCGCGCGGAGCGGAGGCTGTGACTGTGTGGCCGAACCGGCCAGGACAGCACAGAGCCGAGCAGATCACAGCAGAGTTGCATGGGGCCTCTGGGCTCTGGAGGGCAGGCCGGGCCTGTTCTGGAGGTGGCCTCGTCGAGCTTCAGGGGAGGTCGGGGCGGACGGCGGAGCGAGGGCTTGCCGGCAAAGCCCAGGGACCGGCGCCACGGTTTCCTTGCGATCTGATTTCGATTGTTGTTCAACGTTCAGACATTGCATCACGCGCATGCGGCCGCCTGCACCCCCCCCTGTGCGAGCCCCCGCTGCCTGTGGCCCCTGAGGTGTGGCCTCGCCGCGTTTCGCTCGTGGCTTGCTGACCGCAACAGTTGCTGCGTAAGCGGTTCGGTAAGACATGGCGCATTCGAGGTTGCACTGATATGTCTGCGGCGACATACACATGCGCCACTAGTCGATCGCGCATGTAGGTGTGCGCATGTATGGACGAGGTCGCGATTTTGAAATGACGGAGTCCACCACGTGCTTCTCGGGCGGGATCTTGCGTCGTTCTGGCGTTTCTTGTCGCCTTTGGAGAGTTGGGTGAGCCGCTTGCAGAATGACCAGGACGAGACAAGTTTGGGGGCCTGCAGAAATAGTGTGAAACTGTCTTGTGAATGGTATTTGGTCTGGTTGATAATTTTTCACATATCTTGAGTATGATGTGGTGTCACCGCAGAGCTATGTCTTCTCCTCATTCCTTCACTCTCACAGTCGCACTAACTCTCCTTTCCATTATCTTCCCCAGAGTGCCACTCACACTCATTTGCAGTCACACTCGCACTCGCACTCCCACTCACACTGCCGTCTCTCTTTTGTCTTATTGTTTTATGTGCTCCTGCGTTGCCACTTAGCCCGCCGATAGCCGGCACATCCTGAGTCCATCCTGTTTCAAAACAGTACAATGTCTGAGTTTCAAGATGCGTGGCAGGACATGGAAAGGGGCGCGCATCCCGCGCGGAAGGGCCACATTCGGGAGGGGAAGAACACACAGACACAATTAATCGTCGACTCCAAAAAAATATAGGAAAATATGGGAAGTGGGATGGAGGACAGAAACCCAGAAAATATGGGAAAATATCGGGAATCCTGTCATTTGTGTGTATTTGGTCGTGTGTCCCAGGGCCCCTTCACGCATGTCTCTCTCGCCACGGCGTCCCACTCACGCTTCCCGAGAGGTGAGCTCCCGCCCGGGGCGCGGCGCCACATGCCTCGGGCGCCGATTCGCCGTCGCGCGAGCGGACGCAAATTCTCGCTCTCGCCTGGACGCCGCGCAGGTTGCGCCCGAGCGTGGCGCTCCCGCCTCCTCGGCGCGGCGCACAGCTGCCGCTCGCCAAGGATTTTGGGACCCCGCGCGAGCGGCTCAGGATCCGCGAGCGTTTTCGCCTGGAGGCGGCGCTCCCGCGCGGGCGCGGCACGGGGGATTCATTCGCCAGATCGCATGGCAGCGGAAGCGGCAGCGGGGCCGCAAGAGAGTGGGCGGAATGTTGTCCTCGCCCAATCACCGCGTAGTTTATGCCTTTATGTGTGTGTGTGTGTTGTATGCGTGTGTGTGTGTGTGTGTCTGTGTGTGTTGTGTGTGTCTGTGTGTGTGCGTGTGTGTGCGTGCGTGTGTGTGTGTGGGTGTGGGTGTGGATGTGCGGGTGTGTGTGTGGGTGGGGGCGTGCATATGTGCGTGTGTGTGTGATTGTGTGTGTGATTGTGTGTGTGTTGCGCGTTTGTGTGAAAGTGGCAGTGCTGTTTCGGCGCGGCGCATGCTCCGTGTTCGCCGCGCTCATCGGCAGCTTTGGCGCTCCGCTTTTGCGCGGCCCGCGCGCGTAGTTTCTCCTCCTCCGGGTCATCGGAACCAGGACCGCGCACGAGCGCCTTCGGTTCGCTTAGTGGGAACGCGCTCAAATCCCAAGAGCAAGTGTTGCCACATGTGATTATTGTAGTGTGGGGGCTAGGGAGGGGATGGTCGGGCCCGCTGACTCGTTCGACCTTGCTAACTCGAGCCTCGCACTAACTCTCGCACCCGTAACTGCTCTCGCAGCCACATTCGCACCCCCGCTTCCATTCACTTCGCATTCGTGGATCGGCTTCACGGGCCTACCCCCGCTTCCAGGAGGAGGAGGAGGAGGAGGAGGAGGAGGAGGAGGAGGAGGAGGAGGAGGAGGGAGGAGGGAGGAGGGAGGAGGGAGGAGAAGGAGGAGGGAGGAGGGAGGAGGAGGGAGGAGGGGGGAGGATGGAAGAGGGAGGAGATGGAGGAGGAGGAGGAGGAGGAGGGAGGAGGAGGAGGGTTCACGGGCCCCGTGACCTCCAGCTGCTCGGAAACGCAGCACGTCGGTCGCCCAGGCCTGGCCCCTGCCAGGACACCGCCACGGGCCCACGCGGGGGAAGAGTCGCGGCAGCGCCTCGGGCGGGGCGTGCGCTCGAGGAGGCGGGCGGGTCTCCCCCCGAAGCGGCTACAGACGGCCCTTCGGTACCGGCAGGAGCACCACGACAGGAAGATCGACGAGGCGCTGGACGCGGTGGAGCAGGCGCGGGGCCGCCGCCGGCCAGCGGCTCGAAGGGCCGCTGCGTCGGCGAGGCGGCTCGGCCTCCGTCTAGCCTCGAGCTGGCCCGGCAGTGAGGAGACGGATGACGGTGAGGACATGTTCGACTACTCCAGATTTCGTAATAAGGGGAGCGGGGTCTCATTTCGGCGGGGTGTCTCTTCCAGGCTATCTTGGAGGGCCTGGGGGGTGTGGGGACGATGTTTTGGAGGGTTCTCCCACGGGGGAGGTCTGAAATGGCTTGTCTTGGAGGGTCCAGACCCCCTCCCTTTTATTACGAAATCTGGAGTACACGCAAGAGTGACCCTTCGCCGGAGTGACCTTTGGTGCAGGCCCATTGGGGTTCCCCGACCGCCGAACGCGAGGCGGCACTGGCGTCCTGCGCGCTTGTGTTTGGCCCCCCCGCGGCCCCCAAAAAGCCGCGCACCAAAGGTCACTCCTACCCAGGGTCACTCTTGCGTGTAGCCGATATGTTTGCATTGGGAGGGGGTGGTGGCAAAGATTCCGCCCCCACGTCTTTCTTGTCCCTTCCCTTGTCCCCCTTCTTCCCTCATACCGCCCGCCCGTGCGAAGTCACTGTCAGAAGTCGGCGGATGTTTTGCCCGCGTGCGTGCAATCGTATATTCGTCGGATTGCGCGGCCAGTCTCCGATCTTCGATGTACCCGTTGCAGTCTGAAGGGCTTGTGCCCCCGAACCTCCACACGAGTTGAATCGGTTCTATAGATGTACACATATATATATACACATGTCAGAGTGAGGGGGGCTGAACCGAACGGTCATTCACTGTCCCTGGGTGCGTGGCTGAAGTGGAATTCCGTGATGCGGATTATTGTTGTTGGTATTGTTGTTGTTGTGGTTGTGGTTGTTGTTGTTGTTGTTGTGGTTGTTGTTGTTGGTGCTGTTATTGTTATTGTTGTTGTTGTTGATGCTGTTGTTGTTGGTGTTGTTGTTGTTGGTGGTGGTGGTGATGTTGTTGTTGGTGGTGGTGGTGGTGTTGTTGTTGCTGTTGTTGTTTGTGGTTGTTGTTGTTATTGCTGTTGTTGCTGCTGTTGTTGTTGTTGTTGTTGCTGTTGCTGTTGTTGTTGTTGTTTGTTTGTTTGTTTGTTTGTTTGTTTGTTTTGTTGTGTTTGTTTGTTTGTTTGTTTGTTGTTGTTGTCGTCGACCCACCCGCGACCTGCCCCGCCACCCACCCACCCGCGACCCACCAGCGACCCACCCCGCGACCCACCCAAAATTTTCGGCGCCGGCGGCGGGTTTCTTCTGCATTCGTTCCAGGTGGAGAACCTGCGGCCCACCCGCGACCCAAACCGCGCCCGCGACCCAACCGCGACCCAACCGCGACCCAACCGCGACCCACCCGCGACCCGCCCGGGACCCACCCCGCGACCCACCCAAAAATTTCGGCGCCTGCGGCTGGCTTCTTTTGCCTTCGTTCCAGGTGGAGAACCTGCGACCACCCTCGACCCAAACCACGTTCAGTGTACACATCATTTTTTTTCTTCCAGGTGGAGGTGGAGAGCCCGCGACTCACCCGCGACCCAAACTACGTTCACTGAACAAGCCAAAAATTCGGCGCCTGCGGCGGGTTTCTTTTGAATTCGTTCCAGGTGGAGACCATGCGACTCAAGCCGCGTTCAGTGTACAAGTCAAAATTTTCGGCGCCTGCGGTGGGCTGTTTTTGAATTTCTTCCAGGTGGAGGTGGAGAGCCCGCGACCCAATCGCGACCCAAACTACGTTCACTGAACAAGCCAAAATTTCGGCGCCTGCGGCGGGTTTTGCATGCGTTCCAGGTGGAGAACATGCGACCCAAGCCAGGTGGCCCACCAGCGATCCCCCCGCACTGATCTTGTCAGAGCACGCAGATCGGCGCCTGCGGTGGGCTTGCTCTCATTGGTTCGCTGGAGGAGGTGGAGGAGGAGGAGCAGGAAAAGGAGGAAGAGGAGCAGGAAGTGGAGGAGGAGGAGGAGGCGGACGACGACGACGACGATGAGGACGAGGACGCGGACGAGGAACAGGAGGAGGAGGAGGACGAGCAGGAGGAGGAGGAGGAGGAGGAAGGCGCCATCGACAGGGAAGGTGAGGGCCACGAGGTCCGCCTGACGCCCGCGTCGCCCGCGCCCGCCCCCTCACTCTTATCCGCAATTGTTGGGTGCTGCGTACATGCACGCTTGCCCCCGTAACTGTTTTCGGTGTGTTCGTGGTGTATGTATTCGTGTACATAATTGAACGTATTCGTGGTATTCTTGATCCGTATCCTCATCCTCCTCATCTTCGTCCTCCTGCTGCAGCATCGTCGTTATCTGGATCATGTTCCTCATTGTCATGGTTCTCGTCTTCGTAGCCATGTTACTCCTGATCATCGTCCTCCTCGCCCTCGTCTTGCTTATGATCTCCACGTCGCCCCCACTCCCTCCGCCGTCCTCGTTCTCCTCTTCCTCCTGTCATCCCATACCAACATCCTCGTCATGATCATCGCCCTCCTCATTGTCATGATGCTGATCCCCACGTCCCCCCCCGTTCATCGTTCGCGGTTAATGTCAGCACCATTATCCTAACCGTCCATATCCACCCACCCTCTCCCCTCTTCCGATCCCTCATTAGGACGAGCAGGAGGAGGTCGACGAGCCCCCCCCCCATCCGCCCCCCACCATTCCTCCCCCCTAATACCACGACTCATCCTCCCCCTCATCATCAGCAGCATCAGCCTCATCAGCATCATGCATCATCAGCATCGTCATCATCATCATCAGCAGCAGCAGCGTCGCCATCAGCAGCATCATCATCATCATACTTCTTATTGTTATCATCATCAATGTCATCATCAGCAGCAGCATCACCAACAGCATCATCAGTTTGATCGTCATCATCTCTGTGCTCTATCCGCTACTGCTGTCTTCTCTGGGAAGTAGGGGTGGAGAAGGCGGAGAAGGATGCGGCTGAGGATGATAAGGGCACGTGCTATGAGGAGGAGGAGGAGGAGGAGGATAAGAGGAGATGGTTACAGAAGATCAGCCAGGTGCGAGTGTTGAGACGTAATTCGTCCTCCGCCCCATCCTCCTCCTCATCCACATCCTCCTCCTCCGCCCCCTCCTCCTCCCCCTCCTCCTCCTCCTCCTCCTCCTCCTCCCTCCTCCTATCCTCCTCAGCCCTCCTCCCAGCTCTCCTCGTCCACGTATCCTCCACTTTTCTACTCCTCACGCCTGACCCCATCCTCCCTCCTCCTCCTCATCATCTGCTTCCCCCCCGCTTCGTGCTCCCATCTCTGCTCATCGCCATCATCATGTCAGTTTACCCCATCTCTCCCCAGGAAGGAGGAGGGGGATGGGGAGGAGGAGAGGGGGGATGGGGTAGTGCTATGAGGATGCGTGGTGGGTGGGCGAAGGGGAGGCGCATGAAGAGGAGGAGGATGTGGAGGCGGGTGAGACGGTTGAGGAGCAATCGTTCTTCGTTTTCTTTGTTCCCACCAGTCTCCAATGCCATCGTCCTCACCCTCATGATAGCACACCTGCCCTCCACAGGCTTACCTTTCTCGGCTGGGAAGGGGGAGGAGGATGCGGAGGAGGAGGAGGGAGGAGGAGGCGCATGATGCGAGCGGATGGTGAGAACTGACATTTGCAGCATCGCCCTTTGCAACCACATCATCGCAGAAGGAAGCTGGTGTTGACCACGAGTGGTAGTGGGAAAATGAGCGGATCGAGGGGGGGGGTATGCGGATGATGAGGAGGAGGAGGTGGAGGAGGAGGAGGAGGAGGAGGAGGAGGAGGAGGGGTCGGCGGATTGATGGGATCAGGATGAGGGGGATGAGGACGAGCGTTGTCCCGACCTCCTCGTATTGTTCCTCCTCTGTTGCATCGCATCGTGCCTCCTCCCCTGCCCCTCATCTGATCGCCCCCCCCTCCCATCCATCCTCGAGGAGGGGAGGGGGGCGGGAGGGTGTGATAGAAGGAAGGGGAATTGGGGAGAGGACGGAAGGCGATAGGATTAGGATGATACGGAGTATTTCCTCAATGTCATTATCATGGTCGGGCTATTTCTCCTAGTCTTCCTTATCATTCAAAACCATCTTTCTCTGGATGGGGAGGGGGATAAGGGGGGCGGTGATGGGAACAGGGGGATGGGGAGTCGGAGAAGGAGGATGGTGAGGAGGCGTGATGCATCCAGTTCCTCCTCCTTATATGGCGAGCATGAAAAAGTTGATCCGATCGGGAGGGGGAAGGATGAGGATGAGTGACACCTCGACTTCGGCCTCCTCATCTTGCTCGTTCTACTCATCCTCATCCTGCCTCTTCGCTCCCCCTCTTGCTCATCATACTAGTTGTCATGTTCTTTGTCACCGTCGCCCTCCTCCTCGTAGAAGAGGGGTGGCAAAGAGGGGGAGTTGTGTAAGGAGGGCGAGGGTGGTGAGGAGGAATGTGGGGAAGGGGGGCAGGAGGAAGAGTGACAAGAGCAGGGGAGGAGTGACTCCTCAAGCTCCTTCTCAGGGTTGTGTTATCCGTCTCCTCCTCCTCATATCGCTCGTTTTCTCCGTCCGAACGTAGGAGCAGGAGGTATGACATGTGGGAGGGGGGGAGGGGGAGGAGGACGAATGAGCGGGGCGGCAGGAGGAAGAGGAGGAGCAGCAGGAGGAACAGGAGGAGGACGCGTGACTCCTCACCCCCCCTTCTCCTCATCACATCACGTTCCACTTGTCCGACGTCCTACCACTCTTCATCCTCCTTTACCTCTTCCTGCTCCACCTCCTCCTGGACCTCCCACGTGACATGCATGATGATGAGAAGGGTTGACAGAAGGAAGATGAGGAGGAGGATTCCTCATCATACTCCTTCTTTCCATGCGCCGCTTCGCGAGAAGGTTGACTGTCACCAAACCGTACTATACATTGTTTCTTGTGTGTTGTTGGTCTGAAGAGTCACACGTTGGCCAGGCCTCGTTCTCTTGCCAGATTCCTTACACAATGATGGTAACTGCCACCAAACCTTACTA